AATGACCCTAGCCACATGAAAGTGTTCTTTATCACCGCATGGACTGTAAAGGAATAATAATTTAATTTTACAAAACTTCATATCAGTAAGTAGTTATGGTTATTTTAGTATTTATGATTGATGGATACTATCACTACGAAGATTGACGCATTTGGATGATTGGCCAAGAGCTAAGCGTTTTATAGGAACTGGGCAGTAAAATAATGTGCATTTGTTAGATAGTATTAAATGTATTGATTTAGAAACTTCATATACATGTAATAATTAAATAATGAACTGTCCATAATTTCCAAACCTGGTAGATAACTTCGATTTGGCCTAGCTGCAAATCTGTTCGTGTTAGTATCAAGGAGTCGTGTCTTATTTGACTAAATGCTGACTGTGCTTTATCTATGAAAATTTTAATTAAAAAGAATTGCAAAAATATTGATCTTAACACATTTTTCAATAAAGGTGCACATTAATATTGTTAAAATAGGTTATTACTGTATTGTACCCATGTCCATAAATGATTTGTTAAGCCAATGAAGTAGCCCAACATCTTCAAATGGGAGTATTGCTTTTGGGAAGACCTGATTCATAGACCTGATCTGTCCGAAATGATTAGGCTTAGGAACAAAAAAATATGTCATATAACACTATGCAAAATACAAATTCAACTTAAATCTAAGGTCTGATTCTGGAGTTACGAAATTATATTTGACATTCTCCAAAAGTTCAAGACTTTATCTTCAATATGTTGCACCGGCTATTAACTTAGTCAATTTGTAGTCATAGTTTTAATTTATAGACTGATCATTTATTTTTCATATTTACAATCGAAATTACAATTTTTACAATTATACCGTGCACAACAAACCACGAACACGATATGGTGCCATTGGAAAAAGAACTCGCACAACACCAGCAAAATGTGAGTCTTTCATAAGTTTTATGTGTGCGTAATTTAGCTCAGTGCAAATTTAAGACAACTCTCAATAAAAATTCCTTCACTTTCGGCTCTTGAGTCAAAAGTGAATGCTACAACATTGAGGAAACAACGTATCACACAATGTATTTGTATATGCATCACACAATGTATTTGTTTAGATAAGTGTATTCTCCGGCTCAGCGTGGGAGTGGGTCCCAGAGAGAGGTCAATACTACCTCCGCCAGTTCGCCATTCAGCAACCCGACCTGGACTACAGGAACCCTGCGGTCAAAGGAAACATGACAGTGAGTGTACTGTTGTAATCTCTGAATTGATATTCATTAGAGCTTAAAAAATAATCACATCAACATACTGGACAAGAATACTTTCGTGATAGATTATAGCAACAATAATGTATCTCAGTGAAATCTACGAGCACAACAAGAGGCTGTGTCTTTTGCAGAGTAGAATATTTATTTAAACCTCTCCTCGAGCTGTAGTTGTGACAAAACTCTATGTTAAAAGTGCTGTAATGTCATAGGGTAACAGAAAGTATCCTCGCCGAATAGTATTTTTTTCTTTTTGATAAATAACATCAACCATTAGGTCAACCTTCTCAGTTTGTTTGGTGGTTTAGATATATAAGGTCAAAAATTCGATGACTTTATCTTAACTGATATTTCTATGCAAGAATCATCAATGTATATAGTCTAACTACATCGAGAGCTTTGTGAGATTATAGAAAACTAGCTGTTGTACCAGTGCTTTGCAACGGAAAGAGGACAAAAAATATTAACATTTTGATCTTTACATTTGTTGTATGAAATAAATACACATCCACCAACACTTGTAGAAATACAATTCTGCTGCGCTTTAGTATCCATCCTACACCACTCATTTGAATGAAAATTATCGATATAGGCTATAGATTATTCGATATATTCATTCGAATGAGTGTAGAACAGATACTAAAGTGCAGCCCAAAATTCAACATTTATGGCTTTTTAATCTGTTAAGTAATGGAAACCACAATTACGATTTTGATTAATTTTAAATCTTGTGTAGACTGATTAGTGAAAATCTTACCAAATTTTCAAATTACATTTTCACATACATGATTTACCTTCATATCCCTTATTTACATTTATTTTTCATTATTTTTGACATTTTCGACATTTTCAAATTTTCAAACCTCAACCAATCCGACCAGTATCTTTCGCGGTTACTTGTCAAAAACATCCATACATACATTCAAACGTTCTTATTTATAATATTAGTAGGATTTTAAAAGAATACGTTGACCTTAAGCAAACGACAAGATACGAATACAATTAACATTTAAATAATTAAAATTGTTGTTCATTGTCCGCGTTGTTCTATTTACTCGTACGTGTTGTGATTATGTTAGTTTTGTACAACTGGAAGTACTCTAGGTCCAACTATTGAATGCTAACGTTTTTTTAGTTGAAATTGCATCAAAGATTGTTGTGACTACGTAGACAATACAATACTCAACCGTTTTACACATAATTAGACTTCGTTACTTTGTGCCTGGAAATGCTGCCCTTTCTCCCATCCCTCCACTCAAGACAAAGTAAAGAAGTAGTAATATTTAGTAAAAAAAAAATAAACATGTTTTTGTTTTTAAAGGCCGTAATCAACTTCTGGCTGGACAAAGGTGTAGATGGGTTCCGTATGGACGCAGTGGCTCACTGTTTCGAGGCGGCGAACTTCACTGATGAACCCGCAAAACCCGGAACACCCGGGAACACCTACGAGACTCTTCAGCACATCTACACCCAAAACCAGCCTGAGACTTACGCTATGCTGAAAGAGTGGGCAGAAATGTTGCACGAGAGATCACAGCAGGATGGTCGACAAAGGTATTTCTGCTATTACTTTCTCCCCCTATACCATAGTATATGGAGAAAGTATTGTTTTCGTCAAAATTTTTGAGTTTGAGTTTTGAGTGGATATGTTCGTTTTGGGCCTCCCTGGACCCAAAAATTGGTTTTCGAAGTGATGTCTGTGTGTGTGTGTGTGTGTGTCTGGATGTGTGATTTCGATGAAATTTGGTATGTAGGTTCTAACCCAAGGTATCTCCAGGTGTTTTTTTTTTCATTTTTTTGAAATTTTGATTTTTAATGGGGGGTTTTCCCATAAAAACAGGAAAAATCGGATTTTCTCGAAAATGGCCCAAACGATTTTGATAAAAATTTAGTATGTTGTAGCCCTTTACATTCTGAACAGAATGGTACAAATCCCATTTCTGTAAAAATTACGGTTCAAAAGTCATGGTAAATTATGTTATTTTCCCATAAAAAAATCCCATAAAATACCAAAAATAGGATTTTAGAAAAAAAATCCGATTTTATTTTAACATATTATGTTATAGTCATTAAATTTTTAATAGTTTTTCATTTTTATAAAAATTTCATTTTTAATGGGAATTTTCCCATAAAATCCCATACAATAACGGAAAATTAGGATTTTCCCAAAATCGGCCGAAACGATTTTGATACAAATTTTGTATGTTATAGTCCTTTATATTCTGAACAAAATGGTACAAATCCCGTTTCTGTAAAAAATATGGTTCAAAAGTTATTGTAAATTATGTTGTTTTCCCATTGAAACCCCATAAAATAACGGAAAAATCGGATTTTCACCAAAATGGCCCGAACGATTTTGATAAAAAATTAGTATGTAGTCCTTTAAATTCTTAACAAAATTGTACTAATCCCATTTCCGTATATTTACTTTCACCGCTTACACATGATAAAGGTTGTTGACAAACTTATGGGAGAAAGTATGTGTCAGAATGCTGATACCATTTATTTTTATATTGGTATGTTTGACGTTGTTATAAAGGAACTGTACAAATCGTGGTTTTGTTACTTACACTTCGACCTTTTGTTAGGATGCATAATTGATAACCCAATGAAAATTGCATCTTCGCCCAGAGTTGACTCAGCCTCGGACACATGATACCCACGAAACTGTCAATTTATGAGATTTTATGATTAAAAATCACGAAGATGTTCTCCTGTTCAAGGATAAATAGTACAAATGTCCAGATAAATTATTCCATTATCATGATTGTTCATAAATAAAAATGCGATTGACTCCAGGCAATGTCAGTAATAAAAGTTCATAAATAGAAATGCGATTGACTCCAGGCAATGTCAGTAATAATGATTGTACTGTACTGGTAAATGTCGAAGTGAAATAATAAAGGACCGTTAACTTAACAGCACTAACTTAGCCTAAATAAAGGGGTAATTTATTTTTTCAATGTTTAAAATCCACACCAATCTTTAATCAGTACAAAAATTTCTAATCTTTGTTACAGAGTTATGATACTAGAGGTCTACTATCCTACTCCTTTAGCTGTAACTTACTACGGGTCTGGCAACGCGAGCCTGATGTTTCCATTCAACTTCAACTTGTTGACCTATGGAAATCAATCTGTCCGTGCACCTTTCATCAAGTCCTTGATAGACGACTGGATCTTCTATGCGCCTAAAGGGAGCCAGTATAACTGGGCGGTAAGAAATATTTTAAGCTCAAGTCTCGTGCCTATCGGCATAATTACTATTTCGGCTACCCTAGTCCTAGTGGTTCCTAGTAGTATGGGGAGGAAATTGATCTTGTAGCAGAGTGCGGGGCTTCGGAGCCCAAGGTCCAGGGTTCAGATTCTGCCAATCACCAATGATTTGAATCCATGTGATAATGTCAGGACTCTCTAGGACTAGGATGAAGTAATGTGTAAAACATTTTCATGCCTAGAACCTAGTGTCTTAAATTTGAAAATAGGACATGTAAAAAGAGAAAACCCTAGTAGTATAGCACTTTTGTCTATACGGCAAGTGTTTTTGTTCGTGTTTATTTATTTTTTATCTTTTTTATAAATAATGACGGTTTGCCATCAAAACGCGTAATCCCGATCATTGGACTACAAGAATCACTTCCAACCAAGGTAATATAAACCATATTATGATTGTTTGCACCTTTGACCATGGATAGAATCAGACATTCTTTCCCAGTGTCAAAGTTGAAAAGTATTCAATGGAAGAGAGTATTTTTTACAGGATGTGCTGATTTAAGTTCAGTGTCGAAACTTATATTTCTGTCTAATTCTCCAACTTTTTACCAAAAAAACTAAAAAAAAACAACTCATCGCAACTAGACCACACCAACATCACAGTGCTAAGAACTAAGGGAGAAAATATAATTGTAGACATTAGCATACACTGGGAGTGGTTCATTTAACTATTATCTCTTCGAGTAAAAAAAAATAAAAATAAACTATTGCTGGTCCACCAGACGGGAATGTCTACTGCAGAATTCAAAATCGTATAGAACTGGGGAATACTAGTAAGTTATACTTAAACTACTTCCAAAACAACATTAAATTGAAAACAAAATGTCCGATATCAGAGATTTTACAATTATATCTACTAAACAGTCTCCTTACCTCAATTTCTTTAAGTTCATTTTTTACGATTTGTTGTAGAACTTATCTGGAATCACAACATTATTTTAGCTGGCAAAGTCACGATTTACTCACAGGGCTTTTTACGTCAGGCAAAGGTTCAATTAATGTTTTATAAGTAAGTAGGGACGAGGGATCTTATTCGATAGGACATTTACTCTGTAATGGTCTTCGGAAACGTTAGTCATTGTAATCCGTTACTACAGTTAGCCATTCAATCTAATCAACAGATATGCAGCGAGTTAATTTTATAAATACCGAAACGTGATACCATGTTGCGATAGAATAGAAAACTACCATGACAAAAAGGCCAACATATGGCCAGTATGCAGTTTAAGTACTTATAAAACGGGGTTTTCCTAGGTTGGAAATCACGACAACATAAGAGCGGCAAATAGGTACGGTACAGAGATGGTGGATTCTATCAACCTGCTGACTGGAGTACTTCCAGGCATCAAGGTTGTGTACAACGGCGAAGAGATGGGAATGGAGAACACCTACGTGAGATGGGACCAGACTGTAGACCCAAGTGGCATAAGACTGGGACCGTATCGTTACTTGGAGGGCTCCAGAGACCCGCAGAGAACACCCATGCAGTGGGACGACACCCCGAGCTCAGGTGACTTTGAGGCTGTTTTATTATACTGACGAAAAAACTAAATATCATTACCAGAGTGTGTGGTAAAATTTAAAAAGATTTGTATTTAAGGATCATTTCAAGTTAATTCATAAGTTAACGATTGCCATTTATGGTGCCCGCCTGGTAATCAAAAGGTCGCTGGTTCGATCCTGAGAAAAGTGTATTTTTATTGATGGTTCGAACCTGCACACATCTGTTCCTGATCATTGGGCTTTAAATAAATGAAAAAGCTTATCTTAATCAGTAACAAAGCTACACAATTCATCTAACTCTATTCTCAACTCATATTTGGGTTCAAATACGCACCTAGGTGGCTGCCACATCTCAATTGATAATGATAGTGTAGATTCTCAGGTCAATAACAAGAAATTGTTTCCGAGACTATATAGAGGTGGAAATTTGCTTTATGACACACAAAGGTGATAGAAAATTAATACACTACTTTTACGAAGTCAATTTGGCAACTACCTCAAGAAAGAAACACAAACAAATTGATATCTGAGTTTAATGCTAAGAAGCTTGCTTTTTACATTATTTGCACACAAATTAATATTCACATATAAGGAATATTACAGTGGATGAAATTATTATTTACGAAAAATTAACTATTCGATGTTTTTTTCAGGGTTTTCCCAAGACCAAGATACCTGGCTGCCAATCAACCCCAACTACTGGTGGCTGAACGTGGAGGCCCAGCGGAACTCCAAGACCTCCCACTTGAAAGTGTTCCAGACCTTGATGCAGGCTAGGAAAGACCCTGTGCTGCAATATGGTGGCGTCGACCTCTACGCACCAGACAACGATACTTTAGTAATCAAACGGTAACAGGCCTACTTTATTATTGTTGTTTATGCATTTTAGATCACCATTCTCTCATGGGCCTTAACAAATATGACTTGTAATCAAGTTTGTCTTCTTCAGAGTGTGGCAGAACATGTGATTAGGGGTGATATAGAATTTGTTTGAAAATGACTCATGTTATCTAGGGATATTGCTATTGAGATTCTACTGTAAATTGATAATTGTGTAAGTACTGACGTGTTATATCTGATGAATATAGTAACAACAGTAATTGGGTTTATCAAGCCTTATGAACTCATCGGATCATATAAGTAGATAGTCGATAGTCACATTATATCATTAGATACATCTATACTAATAAACAACAATGATATGGCGGGTGCGTGAGCGTCTATCTGTGTACTACTAAATCATGCCAGAGCCACTGAACCAATTTAAATCCAATTTCGCATGTAGGTAGCTTATATACCTGGCTAACACATAGGCATATTCCTGTTCTATTTCCTTTGGGCTACGCCCCATGAGCCTACAAAGTTTTAATGTTTTCACTCAGGATATATATATATATATATATATATATATATATTAATCTTTATTGTTTTTTTTCATAGAATAAACAAACACAAATATACATTTACACAAGAAAAACAATAACCACCTTAGGTTTTAAACCTATGTCGGTGGATTTATACACGTTTTTAAGTTCTTAAATGTCGAAGAGGCGGCTTTGTCCGGTCACTTATATCACTTCTTTATAATTTAAAGTGAGTAATATATATTACTACTTATATATTACTTAAAGTGAGCTGATAATACTCTGACAGATAAAAAGCAAAAACAAAATTGAACTAAGTCTTCACATTTATGCCATCACTACTTTATTTATACTAGGCCAACAAAAGCAGTCGTTTCTGTCCTAGTTTTAGCGATTTTCACATATAGGGAATAAGCTATTTATATAACCTGCTACAGAGCTAGGTTTTTATTACATCATGTCTTTGTCTTCGACGCAAGACTACTAGAAACCCTAATTAGATATTAAGGTTGAACTTGATGGTCAATCAAAAAGTATTTTCTTAGACATTGTTTTTGATTAAATTAATTGTCAATATATGTATTAATATGTTGAAGACCTTACGTGAACAGTATTTTTCTTAACCATTCATCGATGATGTGAACTTCGCGTCAACAATTGTCGAAACACTCAAAGCCTTCTTCTTGAGTGGTAAGTTATAAAAGATAGTTTAGACCGACCACAAGTAGCACAAGAGTCTGTAATCCTGGCAGAAATTTATTGGCAGTCCATTCTCAACTACACACAAGACAATCTTGACAGATTAATATGGAATATATATGTATTATAATATCAATTTTCAGGAGCTACCAAGGTGAATACTTTGCTCTGCTGATCAACATGGGCAGTCAGCAACGGTCATTTACATCTCAAAGCCTCTTCTCTTCCCTTGGGCTGGATTTGAACATGTACGTCGTCGTGTCCAGCATCAACTGTAACTACAGTCCTGGGTACGTATTACTGACAAGCAAGCACCCCATGAATATTCAATGGCTAAAAAGGGTGACTAACTTTCGATAAAACCGTATGCCGCACACCTATCAACTTCATACTTGTGTGGTATGAATAGAGTCCATACAGTAATTTCTAAACTCATACATAAATGTAAGAAGGATTAATATATATTTCTTATAGTAGTTACATTGTGTGTCTATTTCATGCCTATTCAAAAAATATTTTGGGGGTTATTGCTCCACGAGCAGAAACTAAGAAGTAATTCCCATACGTGCTTAAGTTTTAAGCTGTGAGAAATTTTTCCCCAATTTATTTTCCATGTTTCATACCGATCAAATTTTTTAAGACTATTTGAATAAACAAATATGTTCCCATACAGGTTGTACCAACAAAAAGGTTCACTCAACATCACGCTCAGGCCGAAGGCGTCAGTTCTGCTTACAACCAAGACTTGGTCCAACTCTACTGGATCTGATGCTTCTCAACAGCTGACCATCTCATTGTTGGCTTTTATGACGTTGTTCCTATCAAAATTGCTATAAATATTTTGGTCATAGTTTGATAAATAGTTTAGATTAATTAAATTATTGGAATTAATAAATGTATTAATTAATTAAATTATATAAATAATTATTGTTTAGTTAATTTGTATCGTTATTAAGTATGATTCTTGTTTAGTGTATTTTGCTTCTGCTTAGTCATATTTCGGTCCCTTTTAAACTGTAAACTGCAAAAAAACGCCAGACATATGATGGACTTCTTATAATGTTCTAGTGTAAGAAAATATAAAAAACTATTCCTTCCACAACATGACCATGAAAGATTTGTGATTATCAAGTGCACATATAATTTATGTGTCTTTTATATGTTGTTGAAATGTTCATTATAGTTTATACTGTTTAGTAATAAAAATATAATAATATATAGGCCTACCAATATTGACTTTTCATTCTCCTCAAAGTGTTACAGCCCCTCTTTATTTCAAATGATAACAATAATAAGCTAAATTACTTGTATTGTTGGAGCAATATAAAAATATAATGTATTCATCTTGTATACAAATATACCCTAACTCAATTATTTATTACTCTATGTTTAACTAAAGACTGTTTCATGTTTATAAAATTTGTTTTTACGTTGGCATAGCAACTTCCTAGTTGGAGTAAAACAAATGTGCTTATGAATTGTACAAGTTTGTATGTGTTCTGTTTTTAAAGTTATAAAATAAAATATTGTTTGTTTGAAAAGTCAAATCTTATAATTAAATAAGGTCCACAGATTTAACCTCAACATGTATATTGTAAGAGAAGTAACCATACTGAGTTAATAAGCAAAAGCTTAACAGACTGTTAAGAATTGTATTATCATATTATAATTTGGACAGAGTTTTCTAATTGATTTAAATAAAGGTGATCTCAGAGAAGAGAGTAAATGAAAATAAGTTGACTAACAAAGTTTGATTGAATCTGAACCACCTGGCTACCGGCCTAGAGGATTCTAAGACTAAACTTACAAGACAAATATCCACACAAACCACAAGTCGATATTATTTATTCGAGACTGGAGGAGTTTTACACTGATCCTCCAGAACAGATTTCACACACACTAACAATCAGTCTTCGATATTATCCACACGAGACTGAATGAGTTTTAAACTGATCATCCAGAACACAGGTCACATCAGTCTTTGATATTATCCACTACACAGGACTGGGACGGGTGGCGTCGTCCTGTAATCCAGCTACTAGGAGGTCACAAATTGTGGATATTTAGGCATGCACTGTGGATGCGATACTCCCTGGTGTGGATTAACGTCCGCACGAGTGAGTACTACGACTATCCGCAGTACTATCCTGATAATTAGATTAATTCGTATACACCAAGGAAAAATGTGGTTCGGATTCCACTATAAACTCTAGGTCCCTAAGTTGCCATTAGCTGTATGGGCTATTAATTTACAGCTGTGTCTAAGGAATGTCGGCCTTAGTCACTAACAAGACTACAAGATCGCGCCACTCCTCCTACACTCATCTCCATTCATACTTGGCTTAAAATACCTACGTACTATGTATGGTCGCCATTTCATTGAACAATATTAACAGTATTAACACTCGAGACTGATAATATATTAAACAAGTACATGACTGATGAATATTGTGTACAAGACAGTATATTTTAAACGAGAATAATCATGACGAACTGGTTATTATATTCCAAAAACGTAACACAATAACTATGACTGGTAGATTGCATTGACCAGCTGTTGTTCACTAATTTAATCGAATAACTTAAACTTCTAACACACCCTTTGAAAATCGGCCTATGGGGCGGAGCCCTAAAATAGTTCGTACACATCAATACTTTTCGACAAATCTACACAATCTGAGCTTCATTTTTATGTGCTATATGCCTATATTTTTATTTGGTTAAGGCCATTAATAATTAAAATAAAATTTGGTGGTATCGCTTTAATAATATAATAGATAGATGATGACTTTCAGTCAGTTTTACAATTGAAATTAACAGATGAAATTAGTCATAGACAACGTTGGTTGATGTGAATTACAAATTTCTATCGAATATGCCAATCAAAATTTTTTACCAAGCCTAAGTAAAAGAACATATGTGAAAATTTAGTTAACAGTTAGCAATTGATTAGTTTTCGAGGAGTAGATAACTTTGGAAACACGAATAGATGGTGCAAAACACTCTGTTTCATACAACATAAAAACCCCGTTTTAAAAATCCATCAGCAATAAATTATTAGATTTTTTGTGTATTGATTTAAATTTGGTTGTACAAGGTCACACGAACACACAAGGTTAAAAGGTAAACTTGCAATTTAAAAATTGTTATTTTCAGGCCAGAACAAATCGTAAGGTGCGATATGCGAGGTGCCATGTAAGAACAGAAGGCAGGAGCCAAAACAATTAAGATAAGAGGAAAATTGAAATCAAAGTGAAGTGATGTAATCCCATCGATCCTGATAAGAGCTAGATAACCTTGCACACTTAACAGGAGTTGGTTGCAATGAACTGCAATTTAGATGATAAAAGGTGAATCCAATTAAACTATTAGGGCTTCCGTGTTATAAAATAGGCCTGGTTTTATTGAAGGTTCGTAGGGAAGTAAAAAATTTTCAGATTTGTTAATGATAATCTTAAGGTCTTGTCTTGTCTCTTCATCCTCTTGAATGCATAAGTAATATTTATGACCCCTCGAAGCCACCAGAAACCTGAAGACAAAGAGAAATTTATTTTCATAATCGGATTTCGATACAAATATTTCCTTAGATATGCCAGATATACCTATTTATTAGGAAAATTCGCAAAAAGTGGTCAACCGGGCACATTGTCTGATCCAATGTAGAAACTACTGTTAGTTCAATGCTGATTAGCAGTTGAAATACCTACTGTCAATTAATTGATTTCGAGTACATTTAAGCTTTTAGTAAATTACTAGCCATCGTACAGTAGGACGGGTCAGATAGTGTTATTCTATAACAACACTAGGACTAACCAATATATGTTGGAGATAATCTAAAATTGAGCCTCACAACCCTCTTAATAAGCTCAAGTGTTGTAGTCTCCTCGTTGAAGTCTTTTTAAGCAAATGTGAGTTTTAATTTATGCACAAACTTACTTCTCATAATAAACTTTATCATCCGAACAAATAATTTCTTTGAAAATACATTTTCTTTTAAGTTGTGTATTATTCCAGCTTCAAGAACGAATGATTAAACTAGTTTACCTTGTGGTTGCCAGATTCTTGAAATGGTCAAGAATCTGGCAACCACAAGGTAAACATTTTCTTTTATATAACTTAAGACATTTTCGTGCTGCTACCAATATACCTTCTTCAGAATGGCTGCGCCTGTTTACCTTTTTTTACATGTTACCAATACCATGTAGGTAGTATATTTCTATTATCCATACACGTAGTATTATTTATCGCTATGTAAAGTCTGTTTTCGTCGGTTAATGTTGACGGTTGGGAAGGTCAGCGGTAACATTAGCTCACAGAATCCCCGGATGTGACTTGTTTGAGGTAGAAAAATACATCCTGTGGCGAGCTCTGAGTTGTCATAAACGATGAGTTGGTGAGTTGGTGTTAAGTTCTTTCAGTTGATAGTGCTCGGTACGTACCTTTTTGTTTATAGTCGATAATTAACTTCCTTGATTAGTTCCTTACTTCCTATTCCTATTTAATTAGTTTTCAGCACTAAGCTATATTGAAGGAGTCAACGAATTTAATCTGTAGCTTTTTATTAATGTAGAATTTGACCTTCAAATGTCTTTTTAAGTTACTTAGTATCAAATTCACTTAGTTTAGGCCTCTTTCACTAGATTGACATTAACAACATAATTAATATTTAAAATAAATTGTTTTTCGTATATTCTTTTATTTTATTACTCCAAAATATGATTATTGTTAAAAATTCTATTGAAGCAATACTCGCAATTAATACCTCGTACTGCAATTTCTCATATGCTGGTTACTATAGGCTCAACATTACAGCAATTATTCCATGGGAAATGGAATATACATAGTGTTTAAAGCTTTAACCAGCATATTATGGTTTCTTATACTTAAATACCAGGAAAACAAATGGTCAGGGGAAACCAGTTGCTTTCCATCACGTTGCGTATTACCGTACAATTTAAAGTTTAAAGCTACATAATAGTTTTTTTCAAGTTACATACAATACAGGTAAGGATCTAATTTTGCTTTTGTGCAGTTGTAAAATACTACTACTACTTCTAAAATTATTTAAAAAGTTAACACACTGAGACTAAATTGTTATAGAGAGGACTTTTGATTTCTTTTAAACGTTTTCTTTCTTTAACAATTGACAAAATAGAACTTCTGAACTTTCCTTCTTTAAATCCACTAAAACGCAACATTTCTCTATAAAACTCTGGTTGAACTCAACCAATTCCACCTCCCTCAATTAAAACCACCGTGCTAAGTCTTAATGTTTTAATTACTGTATTGTGGTTTCTAACGAATATGTCAAAGTATTTTTTCATAAGAACAACTAAGTAAAAAATAAAATTACATTTATTAAAAGATTTTTTGAATCTGCCATCTTGAACTTTTGAACAGCTGCCATTTTTGACTCATTGTTATTTTATGTATTGTTATTTTGAGCGCAAATTTGTGGCATTGTATTTAATTAAAAAAAAAACGTCTCTAATTTGATGTGCATATCAACCTTTGTTTACTTTTAAGATTTCCTTCTTACTCCTTGCAAGACGTCCCTATGATGTGACAGAAAACTGATAGTTCCTTAAAAAAGTTAGATTTGTAGGTGTCGTGTTTATGTTGCAAATATTATTGATTTATATCGTTCAGAACATATTAAGCCCGTGTGGGACTTTATGTACACCCGGACTACATATAATATACCTACATACCTATTATATAACTGTATAGCAATATTATACATGCCTTGATTCAACCTTCTCTTCACATAAAAAATATCCCTCACGGGCTATTTATTTCATTGTCCAAGTGCGTAAATTTGCCACTTGTACAATATGTTTTAAAGATTTTTATTGAATAATTATGTATTTTTGCCGTGTAAACAAGTATATTGTTTTTGATGAAATCGAAAGTTTGGTAATAATGGTTTACCAAACTTTATAACTGCCTTGTTTTGAGGCTCAAACATGAGCGAAAAGTAAACTTACACAGTTGAAGTTAAAATAGATTTTTACTTAAAACAGATTTTACTTGAAACCTGTTTTAGTTAAAAAGGAAGTTTATATACAAAAGTTTAAGATAATGTTGTAGATAATAATTTCACAATAAGGCTTGAAGTTTTCAATTTTGTAAAACCCCGTCTTATTGCACATATACACCAATCAGACACCGTTTATGCTAAATTTGATAATACTAGGTCATTTATTTTTTGAGATAGTTATCATATTATGTCAGTAAGTGGTATTCCGCAAATGTATATTATATATCTATGGCCTCTTTCATTTTAAAGCCTGGATACTATTAATTCAGATGCTAAAAAGTGGAAACTGTTGTAAAAATAAGTCTCTTATTTTTTTTTTACGTAATTCTATAATGGTAACAAACATATTTTTGCATAGAGTTGTTGGATATGTAAAACAATTTCCTCATTGATTCACGATAACCTAAATCTCTAAGGCTGTCATTTTGTATTACTTTATGTAATTGAATGTATTTATGGGAAGAAATTTATTTATATCGAGTACTGCAGAGTGTTTTCTTAATTTATATTACCCTTTATTTTCAAGTTGGACATCTTAGCATAATTCTAAGTCTCATGATGGTTACAATCCTGAACATATTTTTATTTAAGTCATGATTTCAGACACCCAGTATTCTAATAAAATAAATGTAAAGAGACTTACTCCTAATGTTACACCACTAACACAGTGGTTTTACTTTCTTACGTGTTTACCCCACAGTTTCCACACTACACTTAACTATCAACATGATAAGGTGCACTTTTATACGTCACGAGTTAACAGCATATTTTGCAATCCTTCGTTCTGATTCACCTGATAAGCAGTGGTATGTAAGGGAACTTTGGAGGTGTGGTTGAATCTATAAAACAACACACCGTTGCTTCTCTCTCATTCTATGTCTGCACATAGTCGAAGGACCTTTACTGCAGCCCTGAGGTCATGAAGCCCTACTCTCTCTTAGTGTTCCTCTTTGCTGCATTCTTTTCTCAAGCGACGGGCGAACTCCCATGGTACAGACGAACCAACTTTTACCAAGTGTACCCGAGATCGTTCAAAGACAGCGATGGAGACGGTACCGGAGATCTTAAAGGTACTGTATTTACAGATTTATATCTCACGAAATTGGTGTTATAAAATTTTAAGTTTTCACAGCATTTGATGAACTCTTTATATACTAAATCACATAGTGTTCTTTGTGGGAATTTACAACGTAATAATTTAAAGTCAAGCATTTTTAGAGTGGGGTACAAATATTGCCATAGTTTATTTGTATTTTATTTGAATAGCTAGGGGTAAGGTGACATTTAATGAAAGGTAAAACACATTGTTCCAGTGTAATAGGACTTAAAGATAAATTCGGATTAACATATAAGAACTGAGACGTTAATTGTAAAGGAGAACCATTGAGGTGCTAAGTTCGTCTCAATAGAGAGGGATTTTAATTTTAAAATTTGTTGCAAAAGCTATAAAAGAACTGTTTTTGTGTTTTTAATTATTTTTAACCTATAATGAGCAACTGGTTACAGCTATGATTAAAATATTATGAACTATAAACTTGAACCATATCTCTGGCAGAATCTGTGTTGGAAATATAATCTATGGTTCAAGGTGTGGCACAGAAGGCTCAGCATTTCAAAGACATCGGATTGGACGCCATTTGGTTGTCTCCTTTCTTCCCCTCGCCCAACAAAGACTTTGGCTATGATGTCTCCGACTTTAAAAACGTCGATCCTCTCTATGGCAATATGGACGACTTCAAAAACCTTGCTAAAACCTTAGCGGGCCTTGGTGAGTTGGGTTCTAGATTGTACTTAATTTATATTTAATTTACTTTATATACTTTAGTTTCTCTACATTACTTATATCTTTTTACCACTACCATTGGTTTTTTGAAAACTTCATCATACATACCACACAAAAGGTCCAGCTGTGGCCATTGTGCACTAAAAAATAAATAGGTACTGCAGTTATAAGCAATTATAAATAAGCAAACTCTCAAAGCGTGCACTTCGTCTAAAACAATACTTACTTCCCCTAGTTGCTATGTTGTTATTACCAATTGTTCATGTGACTTAAAAGCTGTTATGATTTACAAAAAGGTGTTTTTCAGTTTGTCTATGCCAAAAATTGTCACACTCTATGGCTGGACTCAACAAAAAAAATTTTAATACCAAAACTGGTTACAAATATTGATCAATATGTAAGGTGAAAATGTGCTTTCACCTTACCTTTAATTTTAAATCGTTTGCCTTTAGTTTTTGCTAATTCGTTTTTATCGACAGATTCCTATATTTCACAGTTATAATATTTTGAAATGTTTTATATAACCTGTGAAATATTACTGCATTTTCAGTAAATAAAATACATTACAAAAATCAAACCTCAACATTTTAGTTTTACTTCCTAGATTTGGCATTTTACACTCGTTAGTGTCATGCCAATTATTTCTTTGCTGTTGGAGAATAATGCAAGTCATTTGATTATTAATCTTTGCAGTACTCACCCAATAATTTCAAATGACTTGCTCTTTATTTGGGTTTGCGAATAATTATTAACAATGATCAATATTCTTACACCACCAGTAAGCAAGTAGAACAGGCTGAGCTGTTAATCTTCGATATATGAAAACTATAATAAGTATTTATATCTTTTAACTAGTTTTATTTCAGTAGATTTTTCAATTTTATACATATTTAATGGAATAATTTAATAGTATATTCAAATTTACCAGTGAATTCGTTGTTTACAGGAATCAAGTTTGTGATAGACTTTGTCCCCAACCATTCCAGTGATTTGCACCCGTGGTTCCAGCTCTCTGTCAACAGAACTCACCCTTACACCGACTATTACGTTTGGGACAACGGAACTATCGACGATGGCGGAAAACACCATCCCCCGAACAACTGGGTTAGTTTTTGTGTTTTAATAATTAACTTGTCCTCTTATTGAAGTCAAGCCTGCTCCGAAACCAATATGTAGCGTGGAAACACGATGAACTGTATAGTAGTTTTGCTGTTGTATTCAGTTAATGATGTCATCGATTTAGTGAAGAGATTATTTAAATTTAATTTGTATCCTAAAATTGCAATACAATTCAAATATTGTAAACCGTAAACAAATGTGTATAATAAACCATTATGTGGTAAGGGGGTAAATGCTGCTCCTGCCCTTAATTTGACATTAGTTCCAATCAAGTAAGCGCTATACTATGTGAAAGGTTCGTTTAAATTATACTAAAACACGTTATATTTTCATATCATAAGATATTTATGTATAAACTCAAACATAGGTTCATAATTCATTCGAGAAAATCCAAACCCTAACTGTGCAAATACTGACAGGGCAATTGAGTGTGAAATATATGTTTTCGCCACACTTCTTTGTTTTAATGAACAACAGTTTGCTGGCTGCTTAGTCATAAAGGTTCATCGCGTAATACGTTACGGTGGTAAACTGTATAAATGTCTCAGGGGTTTGATATCATTAAGTATTGAGTAATCTTACTGAGAATGTTAACGTTTCCTCCACAGTTGAGCGTGTTTGGTGGCTCTGCATGGGAATGGCACGAAGGTCGACAGCAGTACTACTACCACGCCTTCCTCAAGGAACAACCCGATCTGAACTACAACAATCCAGCAGTGGTAGCTGAAATGGAGGTAAGTGGTAACCTAAATAAAATATGTCACTTAGGTATAGCCTAACATCGGCTCTGTGCATACCTGTATTTTTTACTGGCCACCACCTTTATTTTTTTATCTCCTCCAACGTTTATCTCTTCATCCAAACACCCTCTAGCCATAATTCTAGCTGATATGTACTCTGTGAACTTAGATGTCAGCTGTCTCTGATGACTATGACTTGTCCAATATGTCTCCTATTCAGTTACATTATTGGTAAACTCTTCCACGTGCCTTCCAGTCTTCTTTTACACTCTCAATATTACTTACAACTTCATGATACGTTGTAATTCTTCACCACAACTTAGGTCTACCTCAAAGACATTTCCTTGAAGAAATTGTTGATTTCTTTGTAGTTCACAACAGTTTATTCAATAATAGCTGTACTAAAATTACTGTTCTTGCAGGATGTGATCAGATTCTGGTTGGACATCGGAGTGGACGGGTTCAGGCTTGACTCGGCCAACTACATGTTCGAGTCAGACAACAGATCTGAAAACGAAACTTTGATTCCTGGAGAGACGGACGCTACTCAGTGGAAGAACTACGTTCACAATCTGACTCAGAACCAAGACAAGACTTACGAGTTGTTCCACAACTGGGCCTTGATCTTCTACAACTACTCAACTGGCAAGAGTGGAAAGCCGAGGTGGGTCAGTTACATTACGGTTACATGTTTCTCATTGTGTATTGTAAACTATGAAAACTAATGAGCAATCTTAGAACTACTTTACAAAATGTCAAAGTCATATTGTCATCTATACACTGTGCACACGTTTAAGTTTTTCATTTTTTGATACTGGACAAGCTGTCCTTGTTACGCTTTCTATCCTGACAAATGAAATATGGTGTTTTAGCTATTAACACAGCTAAAAAGATCCTCTATTTCATTTTACAATCACCTTAGACTCATATTCTGTTTAAAATACGCACCCCAATGTGCGTCAATGTCTCAAAGAATTTATGACAGATAAAAATCAATTAAACTTTAATTTTATATCTGAAAATGTTTAGCTACCTATATTATAGGACCCCATAACAAATGCTCCCTTAAAAGCGTAAACATTTTCACTAAAGATGTAGTTTATTTAAATGAGACTGACGTATTTTTGCCTAGGGCACTTTTCATGGAGGTATACACGGACCTGGACCACACAATAATGTATTACGGTCACGGCAACACCAGTCTCATGTTCCCGTTCAACTTTGAACTCCTTGTCCAAGGTAACCAGAGTCTGACATCTTCAGACTTCAAGAGGATCATAGACAGTTGGCTGGACAAGATGCCAAAAGATGGAGTAGCCAACTGGGTCGTAAGTAACCAATAATTGTCATTTTTGTGTCCAATCATATTGTACATACCGTCTAAGATTAAATTTTGATAATGAAGTAGAAGTAGACTTCTCATCTAAGTCAACATTTTGTATGCCTATTTAAAAATTGCATAGACTAGTTTAATAGTCTCTCACAAAGTTATAGCTACGATAAGTAAATAATAATTACAATGGAGTTATATTTTTGAGTATTACATAACGAGTAATTACGTTTGCTGCAACAGGGAGGGTAAAAAATGGATTTTTAATGTTAATAGTTTAGTAAGAAATAAATGCATTTTTCAAAATTTGATCAAAATATGTTCATAAACAAGCCAATAACAACTGTTTACTTATTCGCCAAAAGAATAACATGGGAATTTTAAATTCGCAATTCTTTGAAATTTTCTCCGTAACCATTAAGCGCATAATAACGCTTCAATATACTAAATAATTAAGGTTTTAAGCTAATGCAATAGTAAGTCGAACAAAAACTCTCTAGAAGATCCCACCTCAACAAGAACTCCAAAGAACCGGCAACGATTGTTTTTTAAGTAAATGTTGAACTTTGCCATTGGTTGTCGATACACTCAAACTTGTCACAGATAATGTCAATAAAACGACAATTCTCGATAGTCAAAGATAAACATTAGTGTTACTTGTTTACTGGTTTAAACTTCTATTTCAAGTGTTCGATAGAGGAGTTTTTTTTTTCTTTTAAGTGTGTACTGCATCGTGCAATCCAAAAATGCAGATTGTTGGTTTTGCTTTGTTCGAAATGTACTCACATTAAACAATGAGAGTTGATTATATGGAATTCAAAATACGCTTAGTTCCTCAGTCTTTTTTTATCAAGTAGTCACTTTATTCTCATTGTATTTTCCCTATACAAGTAAAATAACTTTTTGGTTTCATAAAAAAACCTTTTAAAAGGACCTCATTTACGCCACTGAAATGCAAACTACTTTGCGGAACTCGCGTTATTCAAGTTTACATAAAACTTTTATTTTTACTGCTGCTTTGATTAAGTTTGTACCCTGTGATTGGTTTGTTGATAATATATTTGGTCACAGAATATTTATAACTTTATCTGTCATTAATAGTTTGAGACCTTCAGCTCATGCAATAATTGTAAGACAACGCACAGGAAAGAAACCAGTTTTACAAAGCATAACCTAAGATTTTTTAGGAAACCTTTATATACTGAGATAAGGTTTGTTTTTTTATAATCTTTTTGCCAGATAACTTCATAAAATAGCATTGAAAAACAAATGCATTAACTAAAACACTGTTGTTATCTAAACCGATTTCTCCTCTAGGTTTTATAAAATAATGAGTTTAATCCTTCAACGCAAATGAATATCTAATCATATTTTCTCTTGAAACTACGTTGCCACATTATCCAGTACCTGTGGCAAAACTTAAAACAAAAATTAAACAACTTTATCAAACAACTTGAATCCAGTCTCTTCGCTTGAAATGTACAAGCTGCCGCTCTCTGTGGCGTCCTAAACATAGATTTAAAAATTAATTATAACTTAAAAAATTAGTATCTAAAGGATTAAAATAAAGAGGTGATTAATAAAATTTGATTTCCTTCTATCGAATGGTTAACAAACAAAAATAACGAAATAGAATGTTTTAACGGATTCATTGAAAAATATGCCGGAAATAAAATTAATTGAGTCGATGTAAATAGGTAGCTTAGAATATTATTGAGAAAATATTCGTCCGAATCATTAAATAGCTAATGTTTTAATTTTGAAGCATATTTATCTAAGGTCAAACCACATTTTATATCTTCTGGCAGTTGGATGAAATATTTGGGACTATTATATTGATAAGAATGCCAACGATGACTTGTTTATTCTAGGTAACAGGAAAATCACTTGATAGTTTCGTCTATACACAAGTACATATTATTGGTCCATAGTTTAATTTCGATTTAGATTATTTTTAAGACTTATTTGTATGACAATTTTTTTTGCATCATGTTGTTCTCTGGATAAAGCATATATGACTAATATTTTTGTATTTTTTTACTTTTGAGCATATAAGCATTTGGCATACATCACTATGACTACTTAGGTAAGACACACAGATAGGTTAAGAGGACACGTCATGCTGTAGGTTCAAATTCATATCTTTTCCGCCAAGAGGTGTGACTAATGACAAACCTGAGGGGGTATTGCACAATTATCACACCCACTTATTTGCACTTTTCACCAATTCTTTTACATTTTTCGTGAAAAGTAACCAAGACTTATTTTCTACCGTCGAGGGTAAATCTTTAGTCAGACGTGTCTAAAATTTAACTTTTATTTGGTTCTTAAATTTTATGTTGAGTTAAGAAGATGCATAGCCATATGTTTGTCAATTTATTTCTAACATAGCTAGGCAAATTTTCAAATAATTTGCAATCGAAACTTTTAGTATATATCTCAAATTCAAACGAATTCATAAATCACAAAAAATCGGCAACATCTTCCTTTTCCACAGGTAGGTAACCATGACAACGGCAGAGTGGCTGATAGGTACGGGTTTGAGATGGTAGACGCCATCAACCTTCTTACAGGCGTGCTGCCAGGGATGAAGGTGACGTACTACGGGGACGAGATCGGCATGAGGAACACATTTGTACGATGGAGCCAGAACGTGGACCCTAGTGGACAGTCCTTGGGACCCGACAACTACCTGAAGGCTTCTAGGGACCCTGAGAGGACCCCAATGCAGTGGGACAGCTCACCATCTGCTGGTATAACGGATTGATAGTTTATGTCAAAATAATGTTGTTGAGTCCATATATACTTTTAAAGAAATCACCCAATTGTTTAAGACGTTAGACGTTGACGCTGGTTTCAACTGCCAAAAACATTATCTCATTTCGCTACTTAAACATAACTCATTTCGGTCACGATAGTAGTATTGCATGCATTATTATGTACACAAATTCCCTTAAATCTTATGTACTTATGGGTTGAATGATAAAGGAATCTGATTATTATGGGCAAGTACTCCACTAACTATAGTCTCCCCCTGTTCTAATGACAATTAAAACTAAACTTGAAATAATAAAAAAAACCTTAATTCCGTATATCAATGTTTTCCTCCTAGCTTAGTAGTAAAAAATGAAGTTTTTTAGGGTTTAGCTTTCCTCGTTTTAGACGTTTCTTGCAAAATTACAACACTGCAATCCATCGTTTTCAGGATTTTCCAGCAACAAAACCACATGGCTGCCGGTGAACCCAGACTACTGGTGGCTTAACGTGGAGAAGCAGAAAGCAGCTGACTCTAGTCACCTTAAGGTGTTTCAAACACTGTCCAAGGTGAGACAAGACGAGGTCCTGCTGAATGGCACCACCAAGGTGTTAGCACCTGATGACGACACTCTCATCATCTTAAGGTGACTCTTTTGTTATTAAAACTTGTTTTTGACTTCTATGTTCATGTTATACGTGGTTTTACAATGAAAAAAGACAAAATAAATCCTTTACAATATGATTCTCAATGAGCGTGTAGTTTACTTGATTGGCTCTTTAAGTAATGTCCACCCTAATTTTCAAAAGTCAAAGTTTGTACTTACTCAGTGATCTTTATCTTCATGAAACCCTTTGTATTTTGATTAAAATAGCGTGGATGCTAAAGAAGACGTTTGCATATAACAACATGTAAAATGGCGTAGTGACAAGATGAGGTCTAATTGTGTGAAACCAAATGCTAAATAATTGCTTTCAGACGAAATTGTTACAGACGAGTTCAAGCATTAGGCCTACTGTACTTGAAACAGTCATAGTCCGTAGAAACTGGGAATCACAGCCTATTTAAGCCAGTCAGATCATAGGAATTTTACCAAGTAAGACTGTTGCCTTATTTAATTACTGATAGAGTAATATTATAATTTACAAGGAAGATTATAAAGGATTTTCATTATTTAGAAGAATAAAATTATAACTTTTTATTACAATGTATTGGAGTAATTTGTACAGAATCCTACCATCTGAGGGAAATCACCAAATGATAGGTTATCACAGCAAACACCATCTTAGCTGTTAGCTTGGTGTTGAAGAATAATAATTCTAAATTAAATCTTGCCTACCTATTCTCCGGTGATTGGCCTATACAGGGGTATTGGGTAGCGTATATTAACTACGTATGCAAATTTAATGCTTTATTTCACACAAAATCACCTTATTAAACATATTATTTTCTTTCTTGCCATACAAAGCTTACTTACATACTTAGGCTTATTTACTCTTCATTTTACTTTCTACTTATTTTACTCGATTTTTTCTTTGTGAGAGGAAACATTCTTAGGGCAATTCAAACATTTTCTAACCCACCATTCAAATTACATCTGACCGAAAAATTAAACATTGGATAAATAACGTATGCATTGTTTACCAAGTTTTTAATTAGTAAGTCCCAGTTTTGACCACGTTACAACAAACACTGTCAAAGAGATGTCACTTTCAACTGTTGTGCAGGACGTTGAACTCTTCTTACTTCGCACTGTTGATCAACTTAGGCAGCGAGTTGAGAGAATATACCACTCTGGACTTGGCTCTCCCCAGCAATGTTGATGTCCAAGTAGTCATCGTCAGTGAGAACGTAGAGCACAAGATTGGGTAAGCGGTCGATTGAAACATAGTATCTCAGCTAAATAAAGATTCATTGTAGTCTTAGTTAGAAATTTACACAAAAAGTCAAACCTATTGTACACCTATCTTGGAAATTATGCATTTATCGCTTTTCTATAGCATATAGTGGTGTTGTAAATTTCATAGGAGTTTAATGAACAAAATTTAATTACAATGCTTATAAGCTGGAAGTGCTGGGGCTCAAGTTTTTTTTTTTTTTTTTTTTTTTTTTTTTTTTTTTGCTTTTAAGGAAAACGTGGTGTACAATTTTATTTTGGAACTTTAGTAGTGTACTGAAAAACTTTAATGTGTTAATACAAGTTGCCTGACCAGGGTCCTAACATGAACGGAGCATAAAGATTGAAATTGTAACGATTGCCTTGATTTAGCGAATCTTTAATTGAGTAGTTACTACGCTATTTTACTATTTAGAATCTAGATAGAGTCATTAGTAAGTATTGGGTTATTGAAGAAAGAATATCTTATTTTAATTGAAAGTTCACATGTATTCCGTCTTCAAAGTTTATAGTAAACTATTATATTTCTTGAAGGGACAAAATTGCGGCCAACTCCACGAAAATTCAACTGAGGCCAAAAGCCGCCATCTTGGTGAAGTCATCAGCTACCCAACTGTTTCTGTCTCTTCCGCTCTTCGTCTGCTTATTACTCGGAAATTTCTGGAGATAAGGCCTTGTAAAAGAACTTTGTTCAATTGTTAAATTTAATAGCTTAAGTTTTAATTTTTTTAGTTAATGTCTAATTGTATGATATTTATATTGATTTGATAAAGGTTTAGACTGATTTGTTGTAAATATTTTTAACTGGTGTTGTAATAAAGTATTTTTAAAGAAAAAATCTTTTTTTTTGTTTTATTATTAAACCATTTAAAAAGCTTTATTTTAGGCGACAAGTACATTATTTTAGTCAGTATCTTGTGGATATCCTGAGTAATATAACGTTGAATTTTAAGTCTCAATGAGTGTAATTTATTATGTTTTACAACAAAACTCTCTATAGGTCCTGTCTAAAAATACAGCAAATAATGTTAAATAATGTTAATGTTAAATAGGTGAATTTAACGATTGATGTTTGAAGACCAAATAAAAAATTAAATCATGGATATGAAATAACATTGCTATATTTGTTAGCTAATTCCTGTAAGATTCAATGTAATATTAAGCTGGTTTTATACAGTCTTTTGGTGCACTAACCACAAATATTTTTTTCATACAGTACAACGGTTTTCATAATTATAACGACTGATTATATCCTGAGTTACACCAGAAAGGGAGCACGGAGGATAAAGAAAAGAGCTGTTGTATCATTTCGGCATATGTTGGGGGACTGTTGGCGGACTGTAACACCATCAAAGAGTTTCTGGTGGTGCTGTTGATAGATACTCTTCACATTATCGTAATAAAAGTTATAGGTTGGTTTAGGGTAAAAATTACAAATCACAGGTCAAAACTCGAAACAGTAAAGCCACGTCAGTTTAAAGCACCTTCGGGAAACAAATCCATTGAAACTTTCTGATAAAGTTTGCAAATCAAAATGCCCTTCTTCCGGTGTACTGTGACTGCATAAAATTTAATCAAGGTTTACCTGATTCGGCTGATTGCAAACTGTGTGGGCCCCATCCTGACGATCTCTGCTCAACAATCTATCCGAACTATGACGTAACTAACCTCAACAGCCAATTAGCAAACACTTAGAACTGTTTTCGCACAAGGAACTACTTCACCTCTCTTATCTGAAACATCTGGTGCATTTCACCTCTGCCCTGATAACGAGAGGAGAAGGGGTCAGAGAAGGGATAACTCCAAGTATAAAATCAGATCCCGACAGGCCTTCGTCATATTAATTTTCGCCAACGTAATCAGCTGTTACGATGCTGTTGGTTGTTAGTTTTGCCGCGCTGTTCTGTGTGGCTTCAGCCCAGGTGATCAGCGTGGACACGGTCCCCTGGTGGAGAAGGGCCATCTTCTACCAAGTCTACCCTCGCTCCTTCAAAGACAGCAATGGCGACGGACTAGGAGACTTGAAAGGTAGGTACCTAGTATTTTGTAAACAGAAAATACCTTTTAAAAAATTATATTTTATATGGATGCTTATAATGGGTGTCTGTTTGTAGTTATAAACAAGATTTATAACTATTTAATCCTTAAGGAAAGTAAGATGATTTTACATACCGGCTTTGGTTGCATTTCTTATGCTTAGGCCGGGGCCACAC